ATAACTCGTGAACATTCTACATTCTTATTCTCTCTCTCATTTATTCATTTAATCTTGTTTCCTCACCTCTCACTCTTCATTAAAACTACAGATATTTTAAGGTAATGAGTGGACACTATTATTATATTATAGCTTAATAATAATAATAATATTAATATTAGTACATATGTATTATTGTAATAATAATGATTATTAATATTATTAAATTTAGGGCACTGGGGCACAGATCCACTGTATAGCACTTTGTCTGGATTTTTTGGGTTATCCTAGGTAATTTATAATATGTATGATAACTTGACTTATGTGTACCAGTGAGAGAGAGAGATACAGAGAGAGAGATACTAAGAGACAGCCACATTCGGTTAGCCAGTCAGCCAACTACCCACCCACCCACCCATCCAGCCACCCATCCAGCCAGCCACCCACCCACCCATCCAGCCACCCCCCCCATCCAGCCACCACCATCCAGCCACCCACCCATCAAGCCACCCCCCCAGCCACCCCCCACCCAGCCACCCACCCAGCCACCCACCCACCCACCCACCCCAGGCCCCCAAACCAGCCACCCACCCAGCCACCCATCCAGCCACCCACCCAGCCACCATCCAGCCCCCCAAACCCAGCCACCCATCCAGCCACCCATCCGGGCCAGCCCCCACCCACCCGGCCAACCACAGACCCGGCCACCCAGCCGGATACGTATTACACACGCTCCAGAGTTACAAAATTTCCTCGTAAAGTTTACAATGTGTGGTTTACATGTTACAAAATATTAATTACAAAGGCCACTAGCATGCCTAGGCATTTCGGGCAAACTAATTTATTTATTTATTTATTTAGAAATTTTAGCATACATACAGAGGTACAAAAAAATACAGGTAAGAGCAGCATGAAAAAGCCACTTATATGCATAGCATTACGGGCTGGCTTAAAATTAACTTAAGATTACTACATTACTACATTACTACTACTACCACTACAGTGGTAGTAGTAGTAGTCTTTTGTGTTATTAAAACTACTCCCCTTACATTTTGCTACTCCTTCCACTACCATCATTGCCTCTACCACTCCTACTACTACACTTCCTTCTTTCTTCCTCTCTCTGTCCTGTCCCTGCCCCCCCTTCACCTGTGTATACAGTGGTACCCCGAGTTTCGTACAGCTTCCAACTTGAACAGTTATGTAAGTGCTTTTGTATGTGTGTTTTTGGGGGTCTGAAATGGACTGATCTTATTTACGTTATTCCTTATGGGAACAAATTCGTTTGGTAACGGCACTCAAACAGCCTTCTGGAACGATTTATGGCCAAAACTCGGGGTACCACTGTATACTGGCTCCCTCACTCTCGTGTGTTAGTGTGAGTTGTAAATGATCCACGTTGGACCGAAACATCATCATAAGCTTCTCTCTCCTATTTGTGGGTTATTTGTTTTTAATCTGTAAAAAATAAAAATTATTGCTGTATACAGTAGACCCTTATATTACACTGTAGTTACATTCCTGAAAAATGCCATGTTAGATAAATCCGTGTTACATAAACTGGAGAAGTTATGTGGAAAATAGGGTTACGTTCCTAGGACCCCTCAAAAAGCCAAGCAACTTTTTTTTAGACATCCAGATCATACAAAAATAAAAATGATAATGTTTTTGTTGCTTAAAACTACAAATGCAACAGAAATATTATTATTTACCTTAAATTGTGGTTGCTGGTGTATGTCAGTGATTGTGAAGAGAGTAGAGATGCATGGTGTGGCCCTACTGGGCTGAGGTGGATGGCTGTTGGTTGTTGGTAGAAGTGGACGGTTGAGGTTCTGGTACCGAAGTCAATGGTTGTATTGGAGTGTGTGTAAATTCTGTAATGGATTTCTGGCTTCTTTTACTCTTCAGTACATTATACAGCTGATGGTAAGGCATCATCAGCTGCTCTAGACCCTGTTTCAAAGCACTGCTTCTAGATTTGTCAAGGTCCTCTTTAATGAAAAAGTCTGCTAGTTTAGCAGCAACATGGAACTGCTCACGTAACTGCTGCAATGTTTACCGTTTTTCTTCAGGTTCTTCTTCATCATCTGTTATCTGGCTCTCTTGTATCTGTGCATTAAGCTCTGGCAACATTTCCTCTGGACTCCTGTCTTCATCATCATCTTCTAAGAGCTCATTCACATCTTCCTTCATATCTTCAAAGCCATCACCTGGTAATCTCGTTGCTAGCTGAACAATTTCCTGAACCTGACTTCATATTATAAATTGTTTACTGTAACTTTTACCATTTAGTCTGTTATAGCCTAATTAATCTTATTTTTAATTTTAATTTTGCCCATCATGCTCTGCATACAAGGGGCTTTTGGCTTGTACTACTATGTATCATGTTTAAATAAACTATATTATTATTATTATTATTATTATTATTATTATTATTATTATAATTATTATTATTATAAAGAATTAACTACAGAGGCCATAACTTTCCCAGCCTGCATTTAACTGTTTCAGGGTCGACAGGCCCTCTCAGAGACTTGTTCTCAGGGTCGGCCAAATTTAAAAAAAAAAAAAATATTTTTTCTTATGAAAAGATAGAGAATCTTTTCCCAATCATAATGACACCAAAAGTATGAAATTTGATGGAAAACTTACGGAATTATGCTCTCGCAAAGTTAGTGGTCTCGACGATGTTTACGCATCAGCGATTTTGCCCACTTTGAGCCCTAATTTCGTCCAATTCCAGTGTACTTGTTGACAAAAATCATAACTATTTCGCTAGAACTCCATTTTTTCTATTGAATGAGTACAAGAAACCACCCATTTACCGATTTCAACTAACCAATACAGTGGTCAGAATTTAGGAATTTTGCCAATTTCACACAAATTTCAAAAGATGCCAATTTCCAGATAGGGTCCAGAATAAACAGGAAAGACATTCCTGGCACTAAAATAACATTTCCTCTGTTCATTAGTCACGTCCCCAGGCCCCTCTTACATTCTTTTGCTTTCCACTTTGAATTTTTATTCTCACAAAAAAATAGAAGATTTACTGTTATGCAGTCTACTGCATTAGTGTAGAAATGGTATAAATAATATCAGCGCATTTGTGAAAGAATATTAGACTCACCAGTTGGACGCATAGCATGATTTGTTTACTTTTGAACTTTGGTAAAAATCAAACATTTCTGCTACTTTGAGCTCAGTTTCAAGGTACATGTACTTTTCTTTGTAAAACCAGTCAAAATCATCTCAATTTATGTAATATGTCATCCATTCTATAAAATGAGACCAGGAAAACTAGAATACAACAATAAATACCATTCGAAAATACAGTGCAAATTTGCTGTTTTAATCCAAAAACACGGTCAAAGTTTTTTTTTTCTCATTACGCACTGTGTGCTGCAGGATTTTTTTATACCGTGCACACTGGCCACATAGACCCATTCTTTCATATGTAGGCCTACCAGCTTTCTCTCACTAGATTTGAGGGTGCTAGAATTTAGGCGTACTAGTACATCAAAAACCCTGGTGCGTAAGCCGTACTAGTACGGCCGAAACCCTGAAAGGGTTAATGTTAATTGGGTCACTTCATTCCATGCACTTCTAGCATAGCTGATGGCATCTGCAATGTTAAATTTGTTCCAGAAGCTTGCTACTACCAGGTTGGAGTCAGAGTTAATCCAAATTTTTTCCCCTTCTGCAAACCGAACCGTGTTAAGTTAATTTTATGAAGTGTTGTATAAAATTGTGCCACAATTTTTCAAGTGTCATAACCAAAATGTGTCAGATATATCCGTGTAATATAAGGGTCCACTGTAATTTTTGAATGATATGCATGATTTCCTGTTTGTAATTCATAGGAAGGAATTTACAATTTAAGGCTTTGGAAGCATGTTAATCATACCTGAACATCCTTAACCCTTTCAGGGTCGGCAGGGCTTCTAAACTTGTTCTCAGGGTTGGAAATTTTTCGAAAAATAAATTATTTTTTCTTATGAAATGATAGAGAATCTTTTCCCGATCATAATGACACCAAAAGTATGAAATTTGATGGAAAACTTATGGAGTTATGCTCTCGTGAAGTTAGTGGTCTCGAATATGTTTATGTATTGGTGATTTCGCCCACTTTGAGCCCTATTTTCGGCCAATTCCAATGTACCAGTCGACAAAAATCATACCTATTTCACTAGAACTCCATTTTTTCTATCAAATGAGTACACGAAACCACCCATTTACCGATTTCCACTATCCAATAATGTGGTTAGAAATTGGCAATTTTGCCAATTTCACACAAATTTCAAAAGATGCCAATTTCCAAATAGGGTCCAGAATAAACAAGACAGACATTTCTGGCACTAAAATAACATTTTCTCTGTTCATTACTCATGTCCCCAGGCCTCTGTTACGTTTCTTTTGCTTTTCACTTTGAATTTTTATTCTCACAAAAAAATAGAAGATATATGTTGTGCAGACCACTGCATTTGTGTAGAAATGGCATAGAAATGGTATAAATAATATCAGGGCACTTGTGAAAGAATATTACACTCACCAGTTGACGTGTATTGGACGCGTGGCATGATTTGTTTACCTTTGAACTTTGGGAAAATCGAACATTTCTGCTACTTTGAGCTCAATTTCAAGGTACTTTTCATTGTAAAACCAATCAAAATTATCTCAATTCCCATATGTCTTCCATTCTATAAAATGAGACCAGGGAAAACTAGAATACAACCATAAATAGCATACGAAAATACACTGCAGCCGCTGTTTTAAACCAAAAACACAGTCGGAGTTTTTTTTTCTCATTATGCACTGTGTGCTGCAGGATTTTTTTTTTATACCGCACACACTGACCACATAGACCCATTCTTTCATATGTAGGCCTACCAGCTTTCTCTCATTAGATTTGAAGGTGCTAGAATTTATGTGTACTAGTACAGCACCAACCCTGGCGTGCAAGCCGTACTAGTACGGCACCAACCCTGAAAGGGTTAATGTATGATTTGTTATTAACGTTGCAGGTAGAGATGCTGATCTCGGTGCCTGTGGTTATTGTGTGTGGAGGAAGCATATATTGGCTACTAGCTGCTGGTGACCATAGTATACAGGTAGCTGAAGATATTATATTCAATCCTCAGTGCTCCTGGTGTGGCCTTGTACCAGTTGGTCAACCATCTACTGTCACTACTACTGGCTTAAAATGGAATTTAAGTAAGTAATAACCATAAAACCATACATAATTATAATAAAATTAAAGATGTAAAGATTTTATTTAGGTAGATGATGACAGGACCAGTGCTAGAAACTAGTACTGGAAATAGTTTTATTAAAAAATAAATAACTTTCACTGCCATGGAGGCAGCATGTTGACTGAGCTTTCACCTGGCATTTTTCTGTTATCTGTCTTATGATAAATAAGCAGAAATCAAGCAATTTGGATTTGTGTCCTGTTTTCACCTGGAATATATTACAGTAAAAGTCTGATAAAACATTAAAGTGCAGGCATTGTACTTCCCATTTCTAGGACCCAAGTCCAGCTAACCAGTTTCCCTGAATCCCTTCATAAAATATTACCCTGCACACACTCCAACAGCTTGTCAGGTCCCAAAAACCATTTGTTTCCATTCACTCCTATCTAACATGGTCACGTATGCTTGCTGGAAGTCCAAACCCCTCGCCCACAAAATCTCCTTTACCCCTTCCCTCCAACCTTTTTGGGGATGACCCCTACCCCGCCTTCCTTCCCGAACAGATTTATACACTCTCCAAATCATTCTACTTTGTTCCATTCTCTCTAAATGACCAAACCACCTCAACAGCCCCTCTTCAGCCCTCTGACAAATACTTTTAGTAACTCCACACCACCTCCTAATTTCCACACTATGAATTCTCTGCATAATATTTACACCACACATTGCCCTTAGACACGACATGTCTACTGCCTCCAGCCGCCATCTCACTACAGCATTTACAATCCATGCTTCACACCCTCATAAGAGTATTGGTACCACTATATTCTCATATATTCCCTTCTTTGCCTCCATGGATAATGTTCTTTGTTTCCACAGATACCTCAATGCACCACTCGCCTTTTTCCCTTCAATTCTGTGGTTTACCTCATCCTTCATAAAACCATCTGCTGACAGGTCAACTCCCAAATACCTGAAAACATTCACTTCTTCCATATTCCCTCCCTCCAATGTGATATCCAGTTTTTCTTTGTCTAAATTGTTTGATACCCACATCACCTTACTCTTATCTAAGTTCATTTTCAACCATGGTGACATTACACATCCCTGTCTAAGACCTACTTTTACTGGGAAGAAGTCTCCCTCTCTCCTACACACCCTAATCTGAGCCTCACTATCCTCAAGAATGCTTTACAGCATTTAGTAACTTACCTATTCCATACACTTGAAACATCTGCCACATTGCTCCCCTATCCACCCAATCATATGCCTTTTCTAAATCCATAAATGCAATGAAAACTTCCCTACCTTCATCTAAATACTGTTCACATATATGCTTCAATGTAAACACCTGATCTACACATCCCCTTCCCATTCTAAAGCTTCCTTTCTCATCTGCAGTACTGCTCTCCATCTTACCCTTAATTCTTTCAATAATAATTGTACCATACACTTTACCTAGTATACTCTGTAAACTTATTCCCCTATAATTTTTACAATCTCTTTTGTCCCCCTTCCCTTTATATATGCTCTTTGCCAATCCCTAGGTACCTTATCCTCTTTCATACATTTATTGAACAAAGGTACCAACCACTCCAAAATTATGTACACATGTGTGGGTATGTGTGTACGTGTATGTGTTTACGCGTGTCCATATGTGTACTGGCATGGGAGTGCATGTGTGTGCATGCGTGCATGTACATTTGTGCATATACATATATACGTACTCACCTAATTGTGGTTGCAGGGGAGGGAGTCATAGGTCCTGGCCCTGCCTATTCATTGGTCACTATAAGTTCCACTCTCTCCCTGCTCCACAAGCTTCATCATACCTCTTCTTAAAGCTATTTATGGATCCTGTTCCCACTACATCACTCTCCAGACTGTTCCACTTCCTGACAACTCTATGACTGAAGAAATACTTCCTAACATCCCTTTGACTCATCTGAGCTTTCATTTTCCAGTTGTGACCCCTTATTGCTGTGTCACATCTCTGAAACATTCTGTCCCTGTCCAACTTGTCAGTTTCTCTCAGTATATTATGTTATGTCCTCCCTATCCCTCCTGTCCTCCAGTGTTGTTACGTTGAGCTCCCTTAACCCTTTGACTGTCGCGGCCGTATATATACGTCTTACGAGGTACCGTGTTTGACGTATAAGAACATAAGAAAGGAGGAACACTGCAGCAGGCCTGTTGGCCCATACTAGGCAGGTCCTTTACAATTCATCCCACTAACAAAACATTTGCCCAACCCAATTTTCAATGCTACCCTTATGGTATAGTGCTCACCCCAAGATCATTTTCCCTGAGTTGAGTTTTGCAGCCTCTGGCCTCTTAGGCTGTACTCTGTCCGCAGTCTCCTTTGTCCTTCCCCAAGCTTCATAACCTTGCACTTTCTGGGGTTAAACTCCAGGAGCCATTTGTCGAACCAGGCTTGCAGCCTGTCTAGATCGTCTTGTAGTCTTACCTAATCCTCGTCCGCTTGTATTCTTCTCATTAGTTTCACATGGTCTGCGAACAGAGGCACCTCTGACTCTATCCCTTACATCATGTCATTCACACATACAAGAAAGAATACTGGCTCTAGGACTGACCCTTGTGGAACCCCACTTGACACATGCACAAACTCTTGCACCTCAGTTTGTACCAACATACGTTGTTTCCTTCCTGTCAGGTATTCTCTGATCCGTTGCAGTACTTTCCCTCCTATTCCTGCCAGCTCCTCTGGCTTTTTAAATAGTCTTTTGTGTGTGGTACTGTGTTGAAAGCCTTACAGTCCAAGAAGATGCAGTCTACCCATCCCTCTCTCTCCTGTCTGTACTTCTGTTACCTTGTGATGCAGGATTTCCCCTCCCAGAAACCATGCTGGTTGTCATGTGCAAGACCATTCCTTTCTAGGTGCTCCACCACTTTTCCTGATAATCTTCTCCATAGCTTTACATACATGTCAGCAACACTGGTCTGTAATTTAGTGCAGCCAGTCTATTTCCTTTCTTAAAAAATTGAGACTACATACGCTGTCTTCCACACCTCAAGCAGTTGCCCTGTTTCAACAGATTTATTAAAGAGTGTTGCGAGTGGCACACGCACAGAGTGCATCTGTTTCCACTCTCAGGACCCAAAGAGAGATATTATCTGGGCCCACTGCTTTCGAGGTATCTAGTTCCCCTAAAAGTTTCTTCACCTCCTCAGTTGTGTGCAGTGTGTCCAGCACCCTACCACCTTGGTTTGCTGGAAGCCTCTCTGTCTCCACTGTGAATACCTCCCTGAATTGCGAGCTGAGCCCTTCACATACTTCTTGGTCATACCCTGTGAGCTCCCCTCCTTCCTTCCTCAGCCTGATTATCTGTGTGTGTGTGTACTCACCTAATTGTGGTTGCAGGGGTCGAGACTCAGCTCCTGGCCCCATTTCTTCACTGGTTGCTACTGGGTCACTCTTCCTGCTCCATGCACTTTATCATACCTCTTCTTAAAGCTACATATGGATCCTGCCTCCACTACATCACTTCCCAGACTGTTCCACTTCCTGACAATTCTGTGAGTGAAGAAATACTTCCTAACATCCCTGTAATTCATCTGAGTCTTGAACTTCCAGTTGTGACCCCCTTGTGTGTGTGTGTTGGGGGGGGGGGTTGAGCAAGTGAATGAATGTTGCAGCAAGGAGGAGGTTGGAGATGCCATTTCTGTGGGCAGTGTGTGGTGTAAATATTGTGCAGAACATAAGAAAGAAAGAACACTGCAGCAGGCCTACTGGTCCATGCGAGGCAGGTCCATTTCTCCCACCAGCTTAGGCCAATGCCTTGACCTAGTCAGATCAGTCACATTCACTTAAGGGAGGAGCACAGCATCTGACCTAGTAGCACAAGCTAGTCAGGTTCAACTCACACCTGCCCACACCCACTCATGTATTTATCCAACCTATTTTTAAAACTACACAACGTCTTAGCTTCAATGACAGTACTTGGGAGTTTGTTCCACTCATCCACATCTCTGTTACCAAACCAGTGCTTTCCTATATCTTTCCTGAATCTGAATTTTTCCAATTTAAAACCATCGCTGCGAGTCCTGTCTATGCTAGATATTTTTAGCACGTATGCTATGCTTGATATTTTTGACATGTAGTTTGGAGATTAGGAGGTGTGAAGTTACTAAAAATATTATCCAGAGGGCTGAGGAGTGGTTTTTATGGTGATTTGGTCATTTAGAGAAGATGGAGCACAATAGGATAACTTGGAAGGTGTACAAATCTGTAGTGGATTGAAGGCAAGGTAGGGGGTTGTCCTAGGAAAGGATGTTGGGGGGGATAAAGAAGGTTTTGTGTGCAAAGGGCTTGGCCATACAGCAGGCTTGTGTGAGCGTGTAAGCTAGGAGTGAGTGGAGACAAATGATTTTTGGGGCCTGATCAGCTATTGGAGTGTGAGCAAGGTAATATTTTGTGAAGGGATTCGAGAAAACCGGTTAACAGGACTTGAGTCCTGGAGGTAAGAAGTACAGTACGTACCTACATTCTAAAGGAGGGGTTTGGGATATTTGCTGTTTGGAGGGGCATCTGAACTGTCGTATCTGTGTCCCACTGATAAGACAGTGATTGTGTGAATGATGGTGAAAGTGTTTCTTTTTTGGGACACCCTACCTCGGTGGGAGACGGCCTATCTAGTAGGGCAGGCCAGGGCAGATAGGGCAAGGAAGAGCAGGCAGGTAAGGCTGGGGCATGTAGAGCAAGGTAGAACAAGCAGGGCAAGACAGGGTTGGGCTGGAAGGTAGGACAGGTAGGATAGTGCAGGCAGAGAATGGTAAAGGAAAGTAGACTTAATATTTATACTCTTATTGTTACAGTCTCCTGCTACCCACATCTAGTACATATACAGTCTCCCTCCCTCCCTCACTGCTCCCCTCCAACACACCCTCAACCATCACCCCATTTAAGACCTTTTCATCACTCAGGGGACCACTGTTTAATTATGCAGTAGTAATTTGGTAATAGTAATGTTATCTTATTCAACAGACAATCAAGTATTGGCATTTGGACATGTGGTGAGCACTTCTAATACCTTTGATCCCATCTGCTATGGAGTTGTCACAGTGACAACTTCCCAGCCTCTCCTCTGGACCATGGGTTGGGATATAGAACATGCTCCCACACTGCAGGAAATAGAAGATCACACATCTTCCAGGTTTCCCAGTAAAGGAACCTCAGAAGTAAATTGTCTTGGTTGCCCCACTTCAACTCATGGCAATTAAAGCAACATTCAAGCAAGTCTCATCACGTAAATTCTTCAGCTGAAATTTAAAACACTTAAAGATTTGTGTAATTGTTGGCTAAGATTACAGATGTTTTCTTCAAATATTAATTACCTATTTGAGTTAGATGTATAGAGGAAATGTTAGCCATTTGGCCCACTTTTTTATTTCTGATGAATTGATGGGAATTAGTTCAATTGCACTGTAGTACATTTACTTTTGATTCACTGTGTTAAGTCTGCGTCTCCTGCCATTGTCTTGTTTGTGCCTGTATGGTTCTCATCTTTGCCAAGAATGATTTCAGAACTATTATTATCTTTATGTATATTTGCTTTTTACCTTTGGGAATGTCTCATCCTCAGCTGAGCAACAACATGCAGATTACAAGTGCATCCCCTTCCCATAATGCATCCATGTACCTAATGATACACAAATAACACGCACTTAGGAGAGAGAGAAAGTAATGACAAGGTTACGGTATGACTTGGACCATTGACAAGTCACACTGAAGCAAGAAAGGAAGGTCAGAATATATAAGAGGATGCAGGGGAAGAAGGAAGAGAGATATGGTAGTGATAACAGAAGTAGTAGTAATAGTAGTAGTATAAAAATAGTAGTGCCGCAGAGGTAGAAACAAGAAGGAAGCAGAGGTAGGATAAATGGAAAACTAGGAAAAATTATGGCAGATAGTGCAGTAGTAATAAAGAAATAGTAATAGAAGTATTGTATTTTCTGGCATACAAGGTGCATGAGCATATGAGACACATAAGATGATGTTTCCAAGCAATTGTAACCTAACATTGGTAAACAACTGCTGAAGAGTAACCCAAAGCCTGCCCTTGACTATGACCTTAAGTATATAAGATGCAGAATGATTTTTGAAGACTTTTTTGTGAAAAATGCACACCTTATATGCAGGAAAATACAGTGGTAGTAGTGGTGGTAGTATTTCATAAGAACAAGAGTACAAAGGAGCACTGCAGGAGAGATACTGGCCTATGGCCATAGGATAAAAACCCTGTGGGCAAAACCTTCAAAGGACAGAACCTACCAAGGCAGAAGACAAGAAAGCTAATGAAAATACAGGAAAAGTGAAGAGATGAGAGGAAGAGGCAAAGGTAAGGTTAAGTCATGAGTGTTCTGAAGTTTAGAGCATTTGGGAATGCAATGAGAAAGGCAGGCATCAACAAAGACAAAGCCAGGACTAAGATTCATGTTAGGAATGTTGTGTATAAGGGATGCTTCAACAAGATGGCATCTGTGAAGTCTAGAAGAAGGGTAGAAAGATTTTGGACCAAAGATCTCTAACATGACAGAAAAGAGCATTGTTAGTGTCAGCATGGTTAACACTTCTTTTTGTCGTCATTGCCCTCATTCTCCTCCTCCTCGTCCTCGTCCTCATTCTCCTCCTCCTCTCTCTCTTTCTCTTTCTCTTTCTCTTCTCTTCCTCCTCCTCCCCTGCCATTGCTTCTCCCTTATTCCCCTTTCTTATCTCCTATATGTATTCTGGCCTTCCTTCTCACTTTAGTGTGTCTTGTAAGTGGTCCAAGTTGTACCAGACTCATTAATTTTCCCTTTCCTTGGTACATGCTACTTGTATATTGTTCCAGACATGGCACTGTGACTTTTTATTCTATCTGATCCTAATGATAATTAAAAAATGCCACCCCATTATCCTGAAATAAAAATTCCTTAAGTGTTAAGAGACTAAGAAAAGCCTAAATGATTTGTCAGAGAATTCTACATACTGGTTTGACTTGTGTAAACAAGTGAGGGAGTCACTGCTTCTCTCAGTGACAAACACAAATACAGTGGACCCCTGGTTAACGTAATTAATTCATTCCAGAGAGCATGTCTTATACCAAATCTGACTTAATCCAAATTAATTTTCCCCATAAAAAATAATGGAAATCCAATTAATCTGTTCCAGACACTCTAAAGTATAAACAAATATTTTTTTTACATGAAATATACATTTCCCTACACAGAAAACAATGAGACATGCAGAGTAAAACATTACTAAAATGACACTTACCTTTATTGAAGACTTATTGATGAGTGATGAGATGGGAGGAGGGGAGAGGATGGAGGTGTACTAGTGTTTGGAAGGGGAATCCCCTTCCACAAGGACTTCAGGTACCAAGTTCTTTTCTGGGGTTACTCCCCTTCTTTGTTTTTCAATGCCACTAGGACCAGCTTGAGAGTCACTGGAACCCTGTCACACAAAATATCTGTCCAGAGAGCTCTGTTTCTGGCGTCTCTTTAAGATTTCCCTGAAATAGGACACAACATTGTCATTGTAGATGTTGCCAGCACGGCCTGCAGCAGCTGTGTCAGGGTGATGTTCATCCATAATTGTTTGCATGTAAGAAAGCAGGAACACTGCAGCAGGCCTGTTGGCCCATACTAGGCAGGTCCTTTGCAAACCATCCCACTAACAGAATCGTATTTGCCCAACCCAATTTGCAATGCTTCCCAAGCAATAAGCTTTGATAATTCTATTCACTCATGCGCAAGTCCCACTCAAATCAAATCATGTGTGTGGGGAAGTACCCTGTCTGGTGTGTGGGGAAGTACCCTGGCTGGTGTGTGTGGGGAAGTACCCTGGCTGGTGTGTGTGTAGGGAAGTACCCTGTCTGGTGTGTGGAGAAGTACCCTGGCTGGTGTGTGTGGGGAAGTACCCTGGCTGGTGTGGAGAAGTACCCTGGCTGGTGTGTGGGGAAGTACCCTGGCTGGTGTGTGTGGGGGAAGTACCCTGGCTGGTGTGTGTGGGGGAAGTACCCTGGCTGGTGTGTGGGGAAGTACCCTGGTTGGTCTACATAAGAAAGCAGGAACACTGCAACATACCTGTTGACCCTTACTACCACCCTCTATTACCATCACAACCACTACCATCATCACTACTAAACTCTACCACCACCACTATTGTATCTTTCTACAAACTTTTTCTTGAATTCTATAGTGTTTCTCACCCTCTTTATCAAAGGGCTGGCACTAGAAGCTTTCTTTGGGCCCATGGTAGCTTATTTAGCAGTTACAAGCACTAAAAACAATGGAATAATACAAAGTGTAACACATGTACACGTGGAATCGTCCTCACTGGCTTGTAAACAGTGGCACACTGGCTGTAAATGGAGTATCTGGGCCGCTCACACCGCACGGACACATTCGGGATGAATGACTTTAACCAGGTTCATTGTCATTAACCAAGCCAATATTTTGACACAAAAACGTTACTTAATCTGATTATTACTTAATCCAATGACATCTTAATCCGGGATCCACTGTATGTGTATAGAAGCAAGATTGCCTTTAACAAATGTAGTCACAGTTTAAAATTTCATTACATGCCTATTGAGTGCTGTTCTGGTGCCTGTGCAGGCAAGTAACAGGAGGTTCATTCATACAAGAAGGGAAGTAAGTAATGCTAATGAACAGGCACTGGGAAGAAATAGTGCTGCAGTATTTTTTGCCACACAGTTCATTTCCCTCCAAGGTTGGGTGACCCGAAGAAGGAAACACATTCAACGTCATTTGAGAGTTACCTTGCCAGATGCACACGGACATAATAATTCAAATGATCTGCTGAACTACAACATCCCCACCCATCAATCTTATTTGTTACTAACAAAATCTTATTGATTTAAACCTAAGATGATGCTTGGCTCTTTATTCATGGCCTGTATTTTACCTGGAGAGTGTTCCAGGGGTCAACACCCCCACAGCCCAGTTCATGACAGTAGTCTCCCAAGCTCATTCTATGTTCTCTCTCCACATTACATAGAGGTAACCCAGCTTCAGGAAGGATGAGAAGGGAATACAGTATGAATACCATTCAAGAATGATTGCCATCTTCAGTGAGCTCTTGTTGATCTACTAGAACTCACTTTTATAAGACTGTATATTAAGATATTTTGTGTGCAAGGGGCCTGGACATACAGCAGGCATGTGTGTGTGTGTTAGGAGTGAATGAAGACGAATGGTTTGTGGGACCTGACAAGCTGTTGGAGTTTGAGCAGGGTAATATTTTGTGAAGAGATTCTGGGAAACCAGTTTGTCAGACTTGGGTCCTGGAGATGGGAAGTGCAGTGCCTGCACTTTAAGGAGGGGCTAGGGATATCTGCTGTTTGGAGTGACATCTAAACTCATATCTTGGCACCTCTGCAAAGACAGCAATTTTGTGTGAATGATGGGGAAAGTGATTATTTCTTTTTAAAGTCACACTGCCTCGGTGGAAGACAGCCAACATGTTGAAAAAAATAATATGTACATGTAATTTGATATAATATAACTTTTATATTTTTTAACACGCTGGCCATCTCTATTTCTTTATACCTTTATGGACTGATAAAGTTCCGGTAGATGAAACATCTCGATAAGTGCCATAAAGTCCATTTTGTGTCAGTCACAAAAATGCACATGCATTATCACTTACAAAAGAATCAAGTCATATTGAAAAATTCTTGTAAATCTTTTTTTATACTGTATATACTCTTTTTTAACTCAGGCTGTCTCCTGCCAAGGCAGAGTGACCCAAAGAAGAAAACACATGCTCCATTATTCATTCAATTGCCATCTTTTCAGAAGCAGGCTTTATTTCAGTTTACTGTATATTCTTATTGGTATGTGTGTAAATTGCTTGATATTTGTGCTTATGCCTCAGTGCTTTGATTATGTAATTTTATATGTTTGACAGGTGTTTATTATATAAAAGCAGCTGAATATTTTAAAATAATTCAGTCTTTGTGTATCTGCTTTTGTAGTTTAAATATGCCTGTATCTTACTTCTCACTTCATCATCTGAGCCATTAACATCATTGTGCAGTGGTACATACACAACCATTCCTTAACACATTCAGGGTCAGTCCCATTGTATCACGGCTTTGAAGCCAGTGTCGATCCCGTAGTACAATGCCATGAGCTCAGCTCGCTCAGATAAGCTGTGAGTGGTAAATTTGGGCCTAGATATGAGAGAATGGGGTTATGTGGTAAGTGTGCACTGTATAAAAAAAATTCTGCAGCATGCAGTGCTGCAGAATTTAAACTATTTAAACTACCCAGTAGTTGGGTAGTTTAAATAGTTCAGTGGGCAGTTTCTTGTACTCAATCGATACAGTGGAGGACATACTAGCAAAATAGCCAAGAATTTGGTCAACTGGAACAATGGCATTGGCCTAAAGTCGGACTTTGATGAAATTGCTGATGCTTAATGTCGACACAGCAAAATTCGCGAACATGTAATTTTGCCAGTTGTCCATCAAATTTTGTACTTTTTGCTTATTATCTTCAGAAAAAGATTCTCTACCATTTCATAAGATTTTTTTTTTTTTTTTTTTTTTTTTAATTTTGCAACCCTGAGAGCAAGTTTAAGAGCAGGGGTCACAACCCTGAAAGGGTTAATACGTTTTGTATTTGGTTAGAAATGTTGCATCAGTATTGTATTGCCAACATATATTCAATAATAATAACATAGTTTATTGTACATGATTTGCAAATTCATTGTACAGTTATTCATTAAATGTAAGTGTGCATAGATGCTTTCCTGACTTGTTACCCATCAGGCATTTTTACAAAGCAGGAGGGTTAAAAAAGTCTCTGTAAGATATCCGGCTCATCAGCGGGTATAAAAGTGGTCTATACACAAAGCTCTTCCAGGGTATATACATGAGAGTTTAATTTAATCCCCATTTTTGGTGAATTATCTCTTTGTCCGTTGTGTAGTTAAAAAACCTTAAACCTAACACGCTAAGCAATCATGTAAATACTACCTGTTATCATAAGGAAGGTTAGGGAGTTAATTGTCTAGTGTCACCATAACGTTCATCATCAAGAAGTCCAAGATTAGGGAGATAGTTGCCATCTAATCAGGAAGAGAAAGCAGGATGGCTTAGATTTGAACTTGTGATTAGTTTAGTGGTTTGGATTTTTAGTCCCCCCCTCCCCAGGTGAGATTGATGCAGAAAATTGACATTGTGTAACTACAGTGTCTTCAAAACTATCATTTAACATTTCCACAAATCTAGCATCCATGTTAGAGGCCTGGGAAAGAATAAAAAAAAAAAATCAGATTGGTCAGGGCTGTTTTATAGGCAGACAAAATAAAGCTAACTGTTTTGACATGCAGATGAGTGATATTTCTGTTACAAGACATGAGGAATACATAGAGCACTATGTAACAACTCACTACTCCCACTGAGACTGAAGCATGGAGACTAGTCCCTCATGATTTATTGCTGTTATCTCCTATGTAATTCCTGCCAGGAATACTGGACTTTTTAATAGGTTAGTGTTGTGTAATTCACATAATTTCCTTTCTCTGGTTGTAGTGTCTGTTGCAAGGGCATACAGGTGGGTTTCAACTATATCTGAAGAACACCTCTGAGGCCACAGTCAGATGGCAAGTGCATGGAATGTTTTGTATATCAGTCTTGGCACCGGAAGTTTAGATATTTATGATATGTTCATTTTTGTATTCATTGGATTTTTATTTATAGTGCATTTTATCACTGATATATGGTATGCATACCATATTTTATCGTTTTTTTTTACACTGCATTATATTATTATTTTCACACACAGCCAGGCTTAAAGTAGGGAATGTATAGTATTGTTGTATGATACTGATTACAAGACAGTTTTGCTGGATTTATTTTAAACAAGAGATTTTGCTATAGGTTTTGGAAATATTTTTTTCTTTCTCCAAGTACTTAAGCCAGTTTTTCATTAGAGTTGGTAAATTTGTTCCCATACCCTCATTTGCTTTTTTTTCCCTCCACAGTTTTTTATTTTCTCTAAGAGGTTGATCAATCTGTTGAAAGGCTGCAAAAATATCAGGGTATGAATAAATATGAATAATATGTTTGTCAATAAGTGTAGCTGTTTTTGACTGCCTTTAACAATGATGTATTGAAAAGCATTCAGGTCTTACAGTGCAGTACATCATTTGTATTGAAAGGATATAAGAATATTGGAACACTGATGTAGGCCTAATGGTCCATGGTAAGCAGGTCCTGTTGATACACATGACAGCTTTCAACTGTTTTTATACATTATAGAACAAATTTTTTAATGACAACCTATTCTGCTAAGCTGTTGCAGCCACAGGTCAACATAGCTATCATGACCTGGCTGATCAGGCTTATGCAGGACTTCTGTTTCCCCATTGAAGCCTTCTACATATGTTCTGGCAATGATTTTTTCTTATATTTGTTGGTTGAAAAATTGTGAACCACAAATGTAGAATTATTATCATAATCATAACTAAGCGCTAAACTCACAAGGGTCGTACAGCACTACTCAAATGTAGAGACATTGTTCTCTGATAGTGTTTGTAGTTCCCCTATTATTTATTGTTTATTCTGCAATATCTCTTGTAGCTAGTTGCTATTTAAGTACATATGCATTTTTGTGGCTGGACCTTTGAGTACCGTAACTTTCTATACATATATTATAAGGCTCACGAAATCGTAATGACACGATTGCAAACAAACCATACCACGGGCGGGAATAGAACCCGTGATCAGAGAGTCTCAAAACTCCAGACCGTCGTGTTAGCCACTGGTATGGTTTGTTTGCAATCGTGTCATTACGATTTCGTGGGTCATATTAATGGCTTTGAGGGGACTTGAGCTAGAGTTCGTCACAGCCACGCCAGCTGGAGATTCGTCTGTAAAAACTTGCATTTGTGGTCAAAGTGGTGCCTATGCTAACCTTCCTATGGTGTAGAAATATACCTAGTTGGACGAATCTTATTGTGGTTAACTGGTCCAGTGGCTAACACGACGGTCTGGAGTTTTGAGACTCTGATCGCAGGTTCTATCCCTGCGATCATGATTTATGGATTATAAGATCTGTCTCATCTCTATTCTAGAGAGAACATTCCGAGTTTTGAGGTGGTCCCAGTACTGTAATTTAAGTATTTCATTAAATGCTTCCCTTTGTACTTTCTAGCATTGATATTTCTTTTGTTTTGAAAGGAGATAAGAGAATAGAACAGTTTACATTCCAAATGAGATAGTGTATGTGCTGTTACTGTTAAGAGTAGTATACCATTTCTTGTTTTTAAAGTTCTCAAAATCCCTGTTATCAACTTCCAAGCCTTGGCTACACTTGCTTTATTGTAATCTCTAAACATTAGGTTGTGTTATACTGTATTAATATTGATAGGTCTTGAGGTTTTTCTCTCTCTTCTGCAAGATCTGAAAGCATTTTTTTTTATCCGATATAGTATTTGTTGTTGAGTTAACTTTCATATCCAGTTGGTTGAAATCTGTCACCACTGAACATTGTATTTCCCATTGTTCATTGGAAGATTTTTTATATCTGATTAGTACAATTTTTGTCTTTTACTGAAGAAACTAATGCTTATTTTGGTTTGGTCTGTGTTCAGTGATGCACACCTCTCTTACTCTTGTGTTTGTTTAATCTAGTGTTAATATTGGCTTCATTGACCCCTTTTTTTGGGCAGTTCATTTTACTTGTCTGCAACTCTACTGCCAAACCAGCACTTTCCTATATGCTGTCTAAATCTAAATTTGTCCAGTATCAACCCATTATTGAAAGTTCTACCCTTGTTAGATATTTTCAATGCCCTTTCTTGTTTGTATAGTACTTCATTTCTGTTTTCTTCCTCATTTTATACCTTTCTATGAGGTGTAGGTTTGATGAAGACCCATATTAGTTCATAGGTACTGCACTAATTTGTTTTGTTAGGATTAGAACTTTATATTTATATTGACATTGACTGCATATGTCACAACAGATAATACTGAAGTTCCCAAGTGCATTCAGAATTTTCTGCTTATTTTTGTATTGTCAGGAAAGGATTGTGGTTTACTACATAATAAGAGCAAATTATTGTTGTTATTAATTTTTTCAATATGCTGGCCATCTCCTACCTAGAGTTGAAGTTACACCAGAATAAAAAACAAAACAAAATTTATATTTTGACAGGCTAAAAGAACCTTCAATGAAAGAAAAACTTGGCAGTAAGAAAATACTTTGCCAGAGAGCCTCTTTAATCTATGATGCAACACTACTATTGCCTTGTATTATCATGTACAGCTAATCTTCCAGCTTTGGAGTTAATACGTAGTCTAAGTGAAAAATGTCAGATTTTATTTTTAGATAAAATTGTCATGTTCATTGTGTAGATATTCATTCCATAACTTATTACTCAGTGAAGGGTTGTATTATTTGGTGATTGGTTGTATTTATTATTCAGTGAATGGTACTTAAGACTAGTCATTCTTTTTGTTCATCCCTCTATAGCTTGTTTTGCATTTTTTTATCATTTGTGATTGTTTCCATAGTGTGTGTATGTCTGTCTATCTCTTTTATACATATACATGAAAATATGTGGTTTGAACCCCTCCCATTCTGCGAGTTGTTTACACTCAGATTGTTATGATTTTGAGTGTCATTCACAGCAGCTTTGAAGGAACTTGATGTAAAACATGTTTCAGTAATGCTGGTACAAGATTCATCTGTAAAAAAGTGCATTTGTGGTCACAGTAGGTGGTGCCATGCTAACCTTCCTAGTGTACAGATATATACTGCTTTGGGCAAATCTTATTGTGCTGACATGGTTCAGGGGATAGCTCACTAGCCTGCCAGTTTTAGGAATGGCTTGCTACAAGTTCAACCTTCACCCATTCTGCAAGTGCAAAAAAAAAAAAAAAAAATATATAGATTGATCTCTCAGATCTTCAGCCATACAGGAAAGTTAAAAAAAAAAGGTATTGCTTGCGATATTCATGTAACCATTTCCAAGAGTTTTCCTACTCCACAATCCAGTCACGGGCCAGACTGTTGTTGGCAGCCTGCTGGCAGACTTGTTCTGCCCATATTTATTTCTGATACATTCTGGTGGAATGCTGAATAGTTTGTACTCACTAGGCACAGTAAGAGCATTTCCTCCCATTACTTTCTAACTCCAGTATGTTATGGTAGTGTGTAGTTTTGGGACTAGACCCTCGAGCATATTCCATGTGTAGTTTATTATCACAGATCCCTTCACCCCAGAGAATTCATGTTCAGCACTTTTAGACATTCCCAGTAGTTTAAATGATTGGCTTTATGCAGGGTGTAAACAGTCTCTGTTTCAGCTTCACTGTCTCCTGCTCTGAATAGTGTCATCAACACTGAACAGTACTCAGGAGAAAATAAATGGGCCACGTGTATGTTGACTGGGAGGGAAGCCACTAAATTTAATCAGACAATGAGCAAAGTAGCTGGACATTAGATAAAGCTGCATGCTCTAATGGTTTTGTCAGATGTAATTAAAAGCTGGTAGACACTTGTGTGTACACAGACCATGGGAATCTTCAAGTCTAGAACAGAGATTTAATTCAATGTGGTTGTAAATTTTTAAATCACTTCAGAAATTAATTATCCTTTTGAGGTATCGATTTTTTTTTTTCAATTAGGCCAGCTTTGATTTTCTCTTCTGGGTGTTTTTTGTTTTGCATTATACTTTGCTTTGTTCCCAGTTATCCTGTGTGATTTTTAAGGAGTTGGAACAAAGCAGAGCTCTCTTGGTCATAGTTCATGGACCTTTATTTTATACAATTGATGCCATCTGCCCAATGTATAGACAAAATTACACACTTGTCAGTTGATTTGATTACATTAGTATCTTATCATTTGTTTGTCTCATGATA